GCTCCTGATGTCAAATCGGGCGTGTCCCTACGGGAGGAAACTTAGAAAATAGTTATGAATCAAGTATGGGGACGTTTTTTGTTATTTTGGAATATGTTGTTGCTATTTCGATTTTTTCCGCCAAGATCCGCCTGTAGGAGGACATCCCCGATTAATCCTGAGGGTCTGGAACACACTCCACTCTAGCCTAGAAACACCATGCTTGCCTCCAGGGTGCCCTGGGTTTCTTCGGTCTCGCTGGTTTCGCGATGGAAAGAGTGACGTTTCCGCACCACAAATCGATGGACGTCCTGGGGTCTCAGGGTTGGGTTTCTGGTGGAAGGTTTCTTGTGGACTGGCCTCCACTGTACAGTGGGCCCGCGTAGTAAGGATGAGCAATTTTCCTGAGGGTCCCCCTTGCATCCTTGCCTCCTCGGTCCATCCTTGGCCCCTATCGCTGGCCGCGCCCCGCTCGAGAAGCTTCGAAACGGCCCTCCAAGGTCCTTGCATCCTGATGATACGGGTCGATTGTACGGTGGCGGATAACTCTATATCTATCAAATGGCCTCTGGCCCGGCCCAGCCCCCGTGCCTCTCGGGCCCGTTTGGCTGGGCCGCCAGAAGGTTGCGCGAGGAGCTGTGAGGGAGCCCAGGGGGACCGCACCAGGCCCCGGCAGATTTGGGAAGTTGGGGTCCGGGCCCCTTCCAGGCGGTTGCAAACGCGGATCAAGGGGGCGTGGTTCAGCGACGGGTCCCGTTTCCAGGGGAGACCACGGATTTCCGCCGCCGAACGAGGCGGCACCGGCCGCATTTTGGGGAGGGCACCTCCCCCAGTCCATGTATGTGCGCCCCCGACCCTTGGAGACTCCTCAGGAGTGGGGGGCTGAGGCCCCCGGGATTGGGCAAATGACCTGAGGACACGCCCCTTCCGTGCCCAGAGGCACGGTGGCGGATCTATCATGTTGCGTTTCTGTGGGCGGAATGCACAAATTTGGATCATGATGTTCAAGGAGATGTCCAGCGAGAGCTCCGTTTTGAAATGGGCCTGGCCTCCACCTGTACAAGCGTTGCACAGTTGTAAGTTGTTATAAACGGAAGTCTAATGCGACAGCCCAATAAATCATAACCAGAGTCCAGCATCCCCAACAATTATTGGTTCAGCCCAGGCTGCTGCTCAGACTGTTCGCGCGTCCTCCTGCTCCTGATCCGCCTTCGGCGTCGTCGTCGAGCTTTTCGTCGTCGTCCTCATCCTCCACCTCCTCCTCCTCCCCGCATCCACGTCACTCTCCTCGGCCTCGGCCTCCCTCCTTCCACTACACCTCCTCCTTATCATCCCCCTTTTCCCTTCCTGCCGCTCCTCCTCCTTCTCCTCCTTCTCCTCCTCTTCCTGATCTTCCTGTCCTCCTCCTCTTCCTCCTCCTCCTCCTCCTCCTCCTCCTCCTCCTATACCTCTTCATCTCACTCCCCCTTAGTCCCCCTCACACGAATCCTCATCCTCCTGGTGATATTCCTCCTCGACGTTTTCGCCCTTCTCCTCATCATCCTCTACCTTCTCATCGCACTCCTCCTTTTCTTTTTCCTTCTCCTGCTCCTCTTGCTCGCCGTGCTCCTCCTCGTAATCCTCGTCCTCCGCCTCGTGTTACGCGCCCCCCCCAAAAAAAGTAGTTTGGGCCTGGTCCCGTCTCTCTCGCCCATCATCCTGTTTCCTCCCCCCTTCCTCCTGCCCCATCCTGCCTCCTCCCTGCTCACCGCGCTCTCGTTCGATGCATCTCCACGATTCGCTCAACATGGCTGCCCCCTGAGAAACGTTTTGAATTTACCAGGGAGTCGCGCTCGCGCGTCAGCACTGGCTACTTCCTCCGTCAGGCCAGAGGTGCCCAGACCCTTCAACAAGAACAGTTCGACAACAAAAGAATAATCAAATGGTTGGTTTTGGGTCTCACCCCTGAGGACGCTTCAAGCGAAACGGGCCAGACAACCTTGCGCGAAGCATCTCGGAGCTCAGATTTGCCAGAATGTCTCAAGCGAAATGGGCCAGACCATCTCGCATGGATTTCTCGCTGCCCAGAGTTGCGAGGATGTCTCATACGAAACAGGCCAGACCACCTCTCGTGCGGCGTCTTGGATTCAGGGTTGCGAGGATGGATCAGGCGGCGCCCAGACCCCTCCCAGAGCACAATTCGGCAACAGAAGTGTAATCAAAGGGTTCGTCGGGGTCTGGCCCCTCCTCCGTCCTCCCTCCTCCCTCTCGGGGCCCAGAGTCTCCAGGATGTCTGAGGCGAAACGCGCCAGACCACCTCGCGCGCGGCGTCTTGGAGACCAGAGTTGCGAGGACGTCTCAAGCGAAACGCGCCGGACCATCTTTCGCGCAGCGTGCGAGGATGGACGAGGGGCAGGCGGCGCCAAGAACATTCTCACACCACAGTCCGACAGCAGAAACATAATCGCATGGTTCGTGCGGGTCTGACCCCTCTTCTTCCGTCCTCCCTCCTCCCGCTCGGATCCCATTGTCGAGACGTGTCGGGCGAAACGCGCTGGGCCACCTCGCGCGCAGCATCTCGGAGCACAGAGTTGCGAGGATGTCTACAGCGAAACGGGCCAGACCACCTCGCACGCGGCATCTCGGCGCCCAGAGTTGAGAGGAGTTCTCAGGCGAAACGGCCCAGACCACCTTTCCAGCAGCATCTCGAAGATCAGAGTTGTGAAGATGTCTCAGGCGAAGAGTGCCAGTTCATCTCACGCGCGGCATCCCGGAGCCCAGACGTGGGGATGTCTCAGGTGAAACGGGCTGGACCACCTCGCGCGCGACATATCTGCGAGCCCAGAGTTGCGAGGATGCCTCAGGCGAAACGGGCTGGACCACCTCGCGCGCGACATCTCTGGGAGCTCAGAGTTGCGAGGGTGGATCAGGCGGCGCCCAGACACCTCGCAGAGCATAAGTCGACAACAGCAGTGTGATCAAATGTTTTGTTTTGGTCTGGCGCGTCCTCCCTCCTCCCTCCTCCCTTTCGGAAGCCAGAGGTTCGAAGATACCTCAAGCAAAACGCGCCGCACCATCTCGCAAGCAGCATGTCGTAGCCCAGAGTGGCGAGGACGTCTCCGGCGAAACGCGCCGGACCACCTCGCGCGCGGCGTCTTGGAGCCCAGAGTTGCGAGGATGTCGGCGGCGAAACGGGCCAGACCACCTCGCGCGCGGCGTGCGAAACGCGCCGGACCATTTCTCGCGCAGAGTGCGAGGATGGACGGTCGGCGCCCAGACCCCTCCCAGAGCACAATTCGCAACAGAAATGTAATGAAATAGTTTGTTTGGGTCTGACCCCCCCCCCATCTTTCTCAGGCGAAACGCGCCGGACCACCTCGCGCGCATTTTCTCGGAGCCCAGAGTTGCGAAGATGTCTCGGGCGAAATGCGCCGGACCACCTCGAGCACAATTTCTCAGAGCCCAGAGTTGCGAGGATGTCGTGGAGAACGACGGCCCGAGCCACCTCTTGCGCGGCATCTCGGAGCCCAGAGATGTGAGGATGTCTCAGGCAAAACGCGCCGGACCACCTCTCGCGCGGCGATTTGGAGTCCAGGGTTGCGAGGATGTCTCATGCGAAATGCCCAATCCCAGCCAACTCAGAAACGAGAGTTGTGAGAATGTCTCAGGTGAAACGGCATAGGCTACTAATTTGTTTTGAGGATGTCTCTGCTTGCGCGTCCCTCGGCAGGAACTAGCTTCTATCACAACAGCACCCCGCTCAGCAAGCTGTCTGGGGAAAAAGGAGCCACCCTCCGTCCGTGTAAGCGTGGCACAGTTATGAACGTCGTGCCATAGATTCTGATGAAGACTCATGCTGAAGCCCGAGTCTGAAAAGGAGCCGCACGCCATGCGTGTAGCTGCCTGACTTTTTAAGACGAGTGTGCGCGGCGCCCAGGCGAGAGAAGCATTTTGCAAACGAGGCACCCTCCAGCCGTGTAAATGCTTGATGTTTGAGAGTCGAGTGTGCGCGGCGCCACAGCGTGAGCCCCGTTTTGAGAGCCACCTGTGCTCCATCTGTGTATGGAGGCTTCAAGCTTCGATCTCATGATTTGTGACGGGAGAAGAGGAGGGAGGAGTCACGAGGGGAGCGAGGAGGAGGAGGAGACTGTAGGAGGAAGAGGAGGAGACAGGAGGAGGAAGAGTAGGAGGAGAAGGCATGAGGAGGAAGAGTAGGAGGAGAAGGCAGGAGGAGGAGGAGGAGCAGGAGGAGGAGGCTATAGGAGGAGGAGGAGGAGGAGGAGGAGGAGGAGGAGGAGGAGGAGGAGGAGGATGAGACGGGAGGAGGAAGAGTAGGAGGAGAAGGCATGAGGAGGAGAGGAGGAGGAGGAGGAGGGAGGAGGAGGAGGAGGAGGAGGAGTAGGAGGAGGAGGAGGAGGAGGCTGTAGGAGGCTGTAGGAGGAAGAGGAGGAGGAGGAGGAGGCTGAGGAGGAGGAGGAGGAGGAGAGGAGGAGGAGGAGGCGGAGAACGAGGAGGAGGAGGCGGAGGAGGGGGGGAGGAGGAGGAGGGAGGAAGAAGAGGCGGAGGCGGAGGAGGCGGAGGATGAGGAGGAGAAGGAGGAGGAGGAGGAGGGGGGAGGAGGAGGAGGAGGAGGAGAGGAGGAGGAGGAGGAGGAGGAGGAGGAGGAGGAGGAGGAGGAGGAGGAGGAGGAAGGGGAAAAGGATGGGAGAGGGGTAGGGGGCAAGCTGCATCCATCCGCGATGGAAATGGGTGCATGTGCATGTGAATGAATGGAGGAGGCGGAGGAGGAGGAGGCTGAGGAGGGGGAGGAGGAGGAGGAGTGGGAGGACGAGGAGGAGGAGGAGGAGGAAGAGGAGGAGACAGGAGCAGGAGGAGGAGGAGGAGGAGGAGGAGGAAAAGGCAGGAAGAGGAGGAGGAGGAGGAGGAGGAGGAGGAGGAGGATGCAGGATGAGCAGGAGGACGAGGAGAGGCGGATGCGATCGGGCGCAGAGGCCCGCGTCGCCGCCCTCCCTCCCCGTCCTCACTGGAGCCCCTGCCGGCAG